CAAGTGCCCAAACTGCAACCCAAAATCCACTTATTTATCGCCGGGTGCCAGGTGGGTGTGGCCCACTGGGTGGGCATGGCTGTGGTGGTCATGGCAGATTGGGTGGGTGTGGCCAAGGTGGGCATGGCCACCTCAATGTTGCTCGGGAGGGACACCTGTGGGGGGTGGGCAGGGTTGGGGGAGATCCAGGGGGCCTCTGGCAGGTGAGGCGGTAGGCAGGAGGCTCATCCTGTGGGGTGAGGCAAGGCAGGGTGGGGGTGCCATTGCCATGGGGCAAGGCAAGGGCCAGGACGGCTGCTGCCTGACACCATCGGCCCCCGCACACAGAGGCCAGTGAGCGCATGGGGGCCGACGGTGTCAGTCAGCAGCCACAGCCTGCTGGCCCCCCAACTGGCGCAGTCTGGGGCTCCGCAGCCCGTCGCCAGCAGTTCAAAGAAGCGGCCTCTGAGCTGGATGGCTGGCCGACAGCTGAGGAGGCGATGCAGTGGGTCGTGCCTGGGAAAAGGAGAGCATGCGAGGCCAGGAGGGACAGGACAGGGGGGAGGGAAACCAGCCATGCTGGGATGCATCCGACCACGTGGGACCTTGGCGAGTTAGCAGGCAGCTGGTTGAAGAAGGACAGTTGCCATCTCTGGGGCACGGTGCGCCAGAGAGAGGGTTCTGAGTGCTGCTTCTGGCACGCGTGCCATAGGTTCGCCACCACTGATCTACCTGATGGCACATCCTGATGGAGTACTGTACTGTACAGGTGCAGAAAAATGCTGTCTAAGACGCACTGCCCTTTCCTGACATTTGACAGCCGTTATGTCCCTCTGAGAAGACAGCTAATTCTCATCTTCTCACCACAATTGAGCCCAAAATTTCTGTTGTTAAGTGAGACATATCTCAAGTGAATTTTGCCCCATTTTAAGACCTCTCTTGCCGCAGTTGTTAAGTGAATCACTGCAGTTGATAAGGCAGCAACCCGGTTGTGAAGCGAATCTGGCTTCTCCATTGACTTTGCTTGTCAGCAGGTTGCAAAAGGGGGTGATCACATGGGGACGCCGGGACACAGCGACGGTCATAAGTATGAACCAGTTGCCAAGCAGCTGAATTTTGATCACATGATCATGGGGATGCTGCCAAGGTCCTGACTGTGAAAAATGGTCACACGTCTCATTTTTCAGTGCTGTTTTAACTTTGAATGGTCACTAAATGAATTGTTGTAAGTTGAGGATTACCTGTAGAGAGAGGCCAGACAAACATTCATCAATCATCAAGGAGAGAAGCAACCTAGAACTAAGGAGAAACTTCCTGACAGTTAGAACAATTAACCAATGGAACAACCTGCCTCCAGAAACGGTGAATGCTCCAACACTGGAAGTTTTTAAGAAGAGACTGGACAGCCGTTTGTCTGAAATGGTATAGGGTTTCCTGCCTGAGCAGGGGGTTGGACTAGATGACCTCCAAGGTCCCTTCCAACTTTTATTATTATTATTATTATTATTATTATTATTATTATTATTACTACTACTACTACTACTACTACTACTACTACTACTACTACTACTACTACTACTATTATTATTATTATTATTATTATTATTATTATTATTATTATTATTATTATTATTATTATTATTAATTTTACTTTGTTTCCAGATTCTCTGCTGGAACCTACTTAACAAGAACTGGGGAGGGGAAACTGAGGTTGAGAAACCTGGGGGGAGGGCAGGGTGAGGTATTCCTACTAGCAGACCTGGTGTATATTTTTTGGCCAAAGAAAGAAACACCCACGCTGGCTGAGACACACACACACACACACACACACACACACACACATATGCATGAGGAGATGGAGGTCAGAGACGGGACAATGACATAATCCATCTGAGATTCTTCTGCCAAATCTGATTAATCTCCTAGGCAGACGAATCCAGCCTTTCTCCCTCCAAGGATTTTTGCCATTAATAACCCAGAAGGTGGAAATTCCATTTGGCTGATCTGATTGCCTGAAATCCAGGAAGTCAACCAAGTGATGTCACTTGCTGTCCCCTTTGGTTAAGGGATAAGCCCTGGCATGTAAGAAAGTCTCTAGCAGCTGGTTTCTGTTGACATATGATGGCGAGTGTGGCAAAGGCGGTCTTGAAGACCCTTAGCCAGAAAGGGATTGCTGTAGAAGTTCAGAAGGAAAAGCCAGTTGCAGCAATAAGCCGCACCTGTTGGATTTCGGTCTGCCGTGTAAGCATAGGAGCCTGGTTGGGGAAGGTGTGTATGTATGTGTGTGTGGTGGGGAATGGCAACCCAACCTTCTATTTTTGCCGTATTCATGAAGTGCCAAGTCCGTTCCTCCCACCCGGAGGATTTAGTTGTTCTCACCTGGACGCTCTTGTGGCACCAGGAACCTCAGCGTCACCTGCTCATATTTGCTTGGCTGCAGGACGATTAAGCAGGCGGGCATCTCCTCCTCCTTTGGGGCCAGGCCAAGAAGAGTAAGTGCTTGCCCCCCCCCACCCCAGCTGCCCCATCCCTCCCGCCAGTGCCTCCTCCCATATACCCCATGGAGCTGGAATAAGACTCAGGAGTGGCAGCCCGCCCAGTTCTGTCAGCAGCTCCTCTTTCTTCAACTTCTGCAATTTCTATGCAAATAGTAACCTGATGCCAGGACGTGCGGAGAGGCCAGTAACTGGCAGCTGGTAAGGCACAACGCGGTCCGCAGTTATTTGCCCACTCGCCATCTCACTTCCCCAGCTCTGATGGCCCCTGGATTCTTTCCTGCTGAGAGGGTTTTTTTGCCCCCCCTTGCTTGTAAAAGTGGCATTTAAACTTTCCCTCATTGCGCCATCGTCCAGGAAGCCCCAGGTATACAGAGCGATGTGTGACAACAGCACCCCTGTCCCCTTTCGCGCGGGGGGGGGGGAGGAAGTGCCAAGATCTGAGTCTTGACACCATCCGTGGCAAGAGCATTCCTTCCTGGAAATACTTGGACCACAACAGTGGTAGGGTTTCGGCTGGAGGCTCGGATTTGAGATGGCTCAAAATTCAAGACTGGAAGATCTAGTGGATTGGGTGGCTTTAACGGTGAGCAGAAATCCAACAGGGTCCTCCCTGGCTGCAGCTGTGACAACAGAAAAACCTTTTGCTTGTGGGGTCCTTGGTGGCCACTAAGCTTGCTTGTTTTCTTGCAGACCAAATTTCGTTACCAAATTAAGTAACATCATCAGTGCTGGTTGGGTAGGGGGTTTGCTCTCTCTGCCTCTTCCTACTAGTGCTTGATAATGTGATGTAGTTTGGTGATGAAACGTCTACAAGAAAACGACCAAGCTCAGAGGACACCAAAGACCCCACCGTTCAACCCTGAGCTACAGATATGCTCTTCTAAAGCTTTGCCTGTTGGAGTTCTGCCTGTCGGGTGCCACTCGGCATGGATTGCAGCTAGGAATTATTTGTATTTTTTATTTATTTGTTTATTGAATTCATTTGCCACCCACCTCATAGCGAACAGTCCTGGGTGGAGAGTTGGTCCCACTGTGGAGTTAACACTGGAGGCTGATCTTCCACTCAGGACCCAATTCCGAGAAATGAATCGCCCGCTTTGACAGATAGCGAGCAATCTGCCCATCCTCAGTTCACGATGAACAGGCTTGGCGCCCTGCCAGTTTCACAGCCTTCCGAGGCAGCCACCCATTTCCCCTCCGCTTCCTCTTCTTATCCTTTCTCCAGTCTGCCCCATCTGTTGGCAGTTGTGGCTGAGGAGACTTGGCCAAAGCAATGCCTGCCATGATCTGTGGCAGCCTGGAAAGGGTGTCAGAAGCCTTAATAATAACAGTAATAAAGTTGGAAGGGACCTTGGAGGTCATCAAGTCCAACCCCCTGCTCAGGCAGGAAACCCTACACCATTTCGGACAAATGGCTGTCCAGTCTCTTCTTGAAAACTTCCAGTGTTGGAGCATTCACCGCTTCTGGAGGCCGGGTGTTCCACTGGTTAATTGTTCTAACTGTCAGGAAGTTTCTCCTTAGTTCTAGGTTGCTTCTCTCCTTGATTTGTTTCCACCCGTTGCTTCTTGTCCTGACTTCAGGCACCTTGGGGAATAGCTTGACTCCCTCTTCTTTGTGGCAGCCCCTGAGATATTAGCGGGGTGGAAATGGGTAGCCACTTCTTCTCCCAGGCTATGTGTCTAGTCCAGTGTTTCTCAAACCTGGTGACTTTAAGATGTGTGGACTTCAACTCCCAGAATTAACCAGGATGGGGAATTCTGGGGGTTGAAGTCCACACATCTTAAAAGTGGCCAACTTTGAGATATGCTGGACTAGAGACATAAGGTAAGAAAAAAAGGCAATACGAAAGGCTAGGAAGGGTCGCCCTGAGCATTTAGGTCTGGAGCATCCGAAGCCAGATCCTGCCTAAGATAACCCAATCTCACTAAAGCAACCTGCAGCATCCTGTCTGTTTGACAGCTCGTAGCTCTCTGGAGGTGAAGAGAAAAAAAATCTGCCCTACGAGCTTCCAAACATTGTCGTGCATGTCTTTCCTTTCTTTCTCACCTGTCCAGGAAATTCAACAGCTTTCACTAGCAGCCCCACCCTTTCTCACACGCCTTGGCATCTCTGCCGGCACCCCCCTGCTTCTGTTTTTAGGAGCTAGAAGGAAGAATGAGGCTATTTTACCCCCCTTTTCTGTTGTGGGAGTGTTTGCTACCAAGGGGAGGGACCAAGGGCTGGGAAATTTCAGAGGGGATAACACCTTGGGGACTGTCTATAAAGAGCTGACTCTTGGAAACTCATGTACCAACCACGAGCTGCCATCTCCAGCAAAGGGAGCTCTGGATCTGAAGAGAAGGGGGCAGGAAGAGGACAGAGAGGGGGAGAAAAGGCACCTGAGCATCTTTCACTCAGAAAAGTTTTTTTTGGGGGGGGGGAAAGAAGAGATACCTTCATCCACCATTAGGGGGTGACAGATAGGAGCTGGTCTTCCCAAGGGATACAAAAACGGTTGGCCAACTTTTCTCGCAAAGCTAGTCATGAATCCAGGTTTGGGTAAGTCTTCAGGATGGGTCAGTCTGAGGCTGACAAATCTGTGGGGGTTGAGAATTCTTTGGGGGAGCGGGTGGAAAACTTTGAGGAATGTTGTGACCCTGCTGTTTGGGATGGGCACACTTGGAATACTGCATCCGGTTTTGATCACCACGATGTAAAAAAGATGTTGAGACTCTAGAAAGAGTACAGAGAAGAGCAACAAAGATGGTTAGGGGACTGGAAGCTAAAGCATATAAGGAACGGCTGATGGAATTGGGTATGTCTAGTTTAACGAAGAGAAGGACATGATAGCAGTGTTCCAAAATCTCAGGGGCTGCCCCAAAGAAGAGGGAGTCAAGCTATTCTCCAAAGCACCTGAAGGCAGGACAAGGAGCAACGGGTGGAAATTAATCAAGGAGAGAACCAATCTAGAACTAAGGATGAATTTCTGGATGGTTAGAACAATTAACCAGTGGAACAACTTGCCTCCAGACGTTGTGGTGCTCCAACACTGGAGGTTTTCAAAGCAGGCATTATTTGGACACAATTTGTCTGAAGTGGTATAGGGTTTCCTGTTTGAGCAAAGGGTTGGACTAGTCCAGGGATCCCCAATCTTGGTAACTTTAAGACCTGAGGACTTCAGCTCCCAGAATTCCCCAGCCAGCCACGCTGGCTGGGGAATTCTGGGAGCTGAAGTCTTCAGGTCTTAAAGTTGCCAAGATTGGGGACTCCTGGACTAGTTGACCTCTAAGGTCCCTTTCAACTCTGCTATTCTGTTATTCCTTCTTTCTATTGTCACTGGTTCATTGGTCTTCTCTGAGCACCTTCCTTGGTCTTTATGATCTCCTTCTGGGTAGTCATCAAGATGAGTCTTACCGAAGAGGGCAAACACAAGGGTGGCAATGGCTCATCCAGGAAAGGGAACCATTCAATGGTGAAAAAAGCAAGGTTCTACATTTAGGCAAGAAAAACCAAATGCACAGGTATAGTATAGGGGGTACCTTGCTCAATAGTAGTAACTGTGAGAGGGACCTCGGAGTCCTAGTGGACAATAACCTAAATATGAGCCAGCAGTGTGCTGCAGCTGCCAAAAAGGCCAACACAGTGCTGGGCTGCATTAACAGAGGGATAGAATCAAGATCACGTGAAGTGTTAATACCACTTTACAATGCCTTGGTAAGGCCACGCTTGGAACACTGCATCCAGTTTTGGTCACCACGATGTAAAAAAGATGTTGAGATTCTAGAAAGAGTACAGAGAAGAGCAACAAAGATGATTAGGGGACTGGAGGCTATAAAGCATATAAGGAACGGCTGCTGGAATTGGGTATGTCTAGTTTAACGAAGAGAAGGACGAGGGGGGACATGATAGCAGTGTTCCAATATCTCAGGGGCTGGAAGTTTTTAAGAAGAGACTGGACAGCCATTTGTCCTAAATGGTATAGGGTTTCCTGCCTGAGCAGGGGGTTGGACTAGATGACCTTCAAGGTCCCTTCCAACTTTATTATTATTATTATTATTATTATTATTATTATTATTATTATTATTATTATTATTATTATTATTATTATTATTATTATTTGAAGGTCCACCAAACCTGATGCAATCTCAAGAGGTTTTTTTTTTCTCTTTTTCTTTTTTCCCCAGTTACAAGCCTCTGCCTAATTTGTGCAAGCCTGGTCCATGTTGTTTCTCCTGAAAAGGATTGTCCTGTTAAGACTGTCATCCAGCAAACCTTCAACTTGGCTTCTCATCTGAAAGGCAATAGTTCCATCCTCCTTGAGACCTATGTAAGTCATTTATCCTGAAAGATCTGGAGATCTTGAGCAGGTTGTACAGATTTTGCATTGGGGCTCTGCAAACGTTTTTGGGGGAATCCCAAACTTTCCTTGAAGTTGCTTCTGTCCTCAGGGTACCAAGAGAGATCACCCATCAGAACAAGGAAGCATTGTCTGGTGTTAAATAGGTCAGGGCTTTTCAACCTTTTCACCCATTGTACCACTTTTAGGATATGGCAATATCTGAGTCCCACCAGTCGCCTAGCAAGGTGTCAAAAACTTGATGACCAAAAAAAAAAAAAGGAAAAAAGTGATAAAGAACAGGTAGTCCTTGACTTACAACAGTTCACTTAGTGACTGTTTGAAGTTACAATGGCACTGAAAAAAGTGCCCCCCAAGCCACAGCTGAGCAAGACACCTGCCTGCCCACCCGGGGGCACTCTTCCTCCTGTCTGAGGTTTCCATTGTTGTGAGCATTTCTGTTGAGGATTGGCAGAAGGGGTGGGGTGGGGGGGTATTTGGTTTTTATTCCCCCCGTCTGCTGGGTGGTTGCAGCAGGTTTTGGTCACTTCACATGACCCTGGGACACTGTGACCGTCATAAATATGAATCAGTTGCCAAGCATCTGAATGTAAATCAGAAGACCCTGGAGATGCTGCAACATTCCAGCTGATCGGCACTTCTTCTGGGCTCAGCAGAAGCTCCAGGATCAGTGCTGCTTTCCAGCTGATTGGTGCTTCTTCAGGGCTCAGCAGAAGCGCCAGGATCAACGCCGAGCTCCAGCTGGAGCCTGGGACTGATCCTGGCGCTTCCGCTGAGCCCTGACAGCCCTGCAGCTCCAGCCATCTCTCGCTCAGGCTTGTGCGGTGCTGCCACCGGTTCAGCTCATTCCCCTCCCCCGCTACCACTTTTCTAGGATGGTCGCGTACCACCTGCCAGGTGCCAATGTACCACAGGTGGTACCCGTACCACTGGTTGAAAAGCCCTGAAATAGGTGACATTCTCAATTTCTGCTAGGTCCAAGAGAGTAGAACAGCCCCCTTACCTGTAGGTACTAAGTGTGCCCACCGTGAATGTTATGGTGAATTCTCTGAGTTATATCCTGCAAAATTCCTTAATAAGGAAGATGAGAACATTTGAAAAGTCACTGCTCAGCCATGATCGTTAAACAAACGTTTTTAAAAAGACCATTCTCCCCCAGTCCCATTCTGCTGTAATAAAAGAGCAGAATTATCCAAATAAAATTTCCTATCATATATTTTTACTCCCTATTATTTTAATTTACTTGTCCATTTATAAACCACTTCAAGTCGAGGCAATTCTAACGAGTGTTCAGAAGCCATAACTGTAGGCAATACAATAAAATGCAATAATACACTTTTTTTAAAAAACACAGTGCATAATTTAGAAAGTTTAGAAAAATGCATGTTCCTGGCGTCAGCAGGTTCTATGGCATCAAAGTCCCAAAGGCCATCCAGAGCAGCAAAATTGGAGCTTCAATACGTCAGGAGACCTTCTTTATCATAGGGGCCAGATGTCCCTATAAAGCAGGGGTAGTCAACCTTGGCTCTTTTATGACTCGTGGACTTCAATTCCCAGAATTCCTGAGCCAGCATAGCTGGCTCAGGAATTCTGGGAATTGAAGTCCACGAGTCATAAAAGAGCCAAGGTTGACTACCCCTGCTATAAAGAATGCCTGCTTTTGGACCCTTCCCATTGAAGCTCTTGATGGCAAAGGATCTTCAATTGGCATTCTGTAGTCCCTCAGACTGAATAGACAGAATTCTAGAGGATGGTCTGGAAGATACCAAGACCGTGAACCAGATGTACTGTAGCTTTATGGATGATAATCAGGCTCTTCGCTTAAAATTGGAAACATCTTCGTGATTGCCTGGTTCTTGTAGCATGACCTAACAAGAGTGTTCAGTATGCAAATGGATCATTGCATTTTGCACCTATAGATTGATAGGCAGTCTTCAAAGACAGCCCCATGTGAAGCAAATTGTGGTAATCTATATAGCAGCGGTGGCGAGCCTATGGCCCGTGTGCCAGAGGCGGCACTCGGAGCCCTCTCTGTGGGCACACGTGCCGCTGCCCCAGCCTTGCCTCCCCCCGCGACCCCCTCCTCACCAGCAGCCCCCCTGGAGAAGAGTCACCCCCAAGTGTGGCTCACGCAGAGCAGGGCAGCCAAGGACATGGCAGCCAGGCAGCGTAGACAAGACTCTGCCCTCATGCCCCATCGTGCACAGTTGAGGCTGTGGGGCGCGGGCAGAGGGCGTGGCCGCCATGGCGCTGCTGGGCTGCCTGGGCGATCTGCAGCGGGCCCTGGAGGTGGTGAGTGGCCCTGTGGGCAGGTGGGGTGGGGGCGGGGCAGGGGTGGAGCAGGGGCGGGGTCAGTTTTTGGGCACTCAGTCTCTAAAAGGTTCGCCATCACTGCTATATAGGAAATGACAAGTATGCCCCCATTCCAGATAAGGTCATAATAAATGTATTAGCTTAAGCTGAGCAAATGTCCTTCCAGCAGGAGTGCTGAGGCCACAAGGACCTTTGGATTCCAGGCCTCTTCTCCAAGGGTACGTTGAGAGTTCAGGATGGTATAACCCAGATTTAGCAGGTTTCTGAATAAATATCCACCTCGTCTTGCTTGGAATGAATCAAAACCTACCCATTCAGATCCTGACGGTCTCCAAATTTTGGGTCAGGGCTTCTTCCACATCCTTCTTTTGAGCCAGGATGGAGATTTATAATTGGGTATAATTTGAAGACTGGTGATACCTCACTTCAAATTAGTAGTTGCTATTTCCCAGTGGTTGTTAAATAAGAGCGAGGAGATGAATGAACCCTGAGGAGCACTTAAGTGGGTGACCTCTTCCTGACAACTAACTCAAACCTTTCACTTAGGAAGGATGGAACCATTGTGAAATGGCAACTTTGAGACCCAACCTTCATAGGTGGTCCAGGAGCACATTGTAATCAACAGTACCAAAAGCCACTGAGAGGTCTAGAAGACAAGGATGATCACGAGCCTCCCATCTAAGCTAGTTTCTCAATCTTAGCAATTTAGGGTTGTCTGCACTTCAGCTCTCAGAATTCCTCAACCAGGCTGTTCTCTAGGCATCTTAAAGTTGCTAAGTTTGAGGAACACTGATTTTAAGCTTTGTCACAAGTCATCCATGAGGCTAAGCAATATATTTTCAATCCTGTGTCCAGGTTGAGTAATATAGGCTGTGCGTGTCTAGATAATCCATGTGTTGCAGTACTTGACTCTCATTATCTGGGGCCCTACCACCATCCCCACTAAGGAGAAGTTGGATGCACTGTTTCTTCCATCTTTCTTTTTATCAGGAAAAAAAAGAGGAGATACTAGCTCTAGCATGCATTTTGATTGATAGCAGAAGAAGCCGTTAGGTCAAAGTGTTCCACAAAAAGCAACAATCCTTCTATAATTGCACAATATGTACATCTTTGTCAGGAAATAGCTCTAAGGAAGGGACTGACCCAGTAGTGGTGGCGATCACGCAACTATTCATGCCCTGTTGAACTACAATTTACACTACAATCCAGTGGGCAGATAGAAATTATAGTTCAGCTGAAGTGGCCTTCTGTAATCCGGCATTCTCCAGCCTTGGGTGTGAACATCAGTTCCTGAAAATTCAGGAAATTGAAATCGCACCTCTGGAGGGTTTGTGTCTGACCACAGTGATGCCGAAATCATGAAATGCGTCTTGTGACATCACGAAGCAGGCGGCATTCTTTTGTAGTGGTGCCCAAGTGTCACACAAAGGGATAGACCTTGCGTTGTAAGATATGTTTTCTGCTCACCTACGTGCCCTTGGAGAAGGCTACGTTGGAGGGCCACCAGATCCCTCAGCTGCTTAAAGCTGGTCACCAGCCAGCCCCTACCTCCTTCCAGAGTGTCAGTAGGAAATGCAGGACCGATCTTGCCCTATGCCAAAAAATACTACGGCTGCGGGCAAAGTGCCCGTCTCCAGATGACAGAATCAAGCGAATGAATATGGTCCTGGACTTACGGCCAGCGTTGAGCCCAAAATTTCTCTCGCTAAGGGGAGGCGGTTGTTAAGTAGCTTTGGCCCTGTTTTATGACCTTTCTTGCTACAGTTTGTTAAGTGAATCACTGCAGTTGTTAAGTTAGTAACCTGGTTGTTAAGTGAATCTGGCTTCCCTGTTGTCTTTGCTCGTCAGAAGGTCGCCAACGGTGAACACATGACCCCAGGGCACTGCGACCGTCATAAATATGAGTCAGTTGCCAAGTGTCTTAATTTTGATCAAATGACCGTGGCGTTGCTACAAGGGTCACACGTGTGAAAACTTGCCATGTTACTTTTTTTCAGCGCTGTTATAACATTGAACAGTTACTAGATGGGTGGTGGTAAGTCAAGGACTACTACCTGTAGGAGAAACCCCTGTAAGAGAAGGCAGAATCCCTGTACCATGGTGCCTTGGTAGAATCCAGAGTCAATTTGTTATTGCCATCAGAACCAGACGAGAAAAGCTGGTTATTAGCCTACTGTTCTTGTCAGTGTGTTTTGGCTCTGCAACACGATCGGGGAGGGGGGAAAAGGGGGGGAGAAGAAGAGAAACCCGTTCCCCTTCCAACCTGCCACCCGTTCAATTTGGCATTATTTTCATCCTGCAGAGAGTGGCTGGGTGCCCAAGTATTTCCCATGCCTCACTCCTTCAAGCTGCCCAGGCCTCAGATGCCAGACGGAGTAGGTCATTGCAACCTTACAACCTAGGGCCAGGCAGACGGCCAAGATGCCTGCAGTGCCCATGAAAAGGATTGCTCAAGGTGGAACTGTGGTTGAGTGGTTTGGGAAACAAGCAGAGGTCTGTTTCTGGGGGAGGAGGGGGGGCTTCAGCCCTCCCTGCGAGGAATTCCTAAGGGATGAAGAGGCTGGGGTTGGATGGATAGCCCCTCCCCAACGTTACTGAGAGGTGACAAAGCAGGCATCCACATCCTGATAGCTCACTTACAAATAGTTAAACTTTTGGAAATCCCATCTTAAAATAGACTCCAGGAAGGGAGGGTAGATTTTGGTCATTTTCTCGGTAGCTTTCATAGACTTCAGTCTATTAAGTGTTTCAGCCAATACAAAGTGAGCTTAAGGCAGCGGTTCTCAACCTATGGGTCGCGACCCCATTTGGGGTCAATCGACCATTTCACGGGGGTCGCCAAGCAAGGCTGTCCACCATTTTTTCCCCCTTTTCCGGCAGGTGCCTTACCTCCCTTGAGCTGGGCCAGCTAGTGGTCGGCCTGCTCCGTCTCTGCCGCTTGCCAGCTACGCCTCGGCCGGCGCAGGGGGCAGAACCACGCATGCGCGGTGCTCCCGGGTAGGGAAAGTCCTCGACTTATGACCGGTTGGGTAGTCCTCGACTTACGACCGGTTTAGTCCTTGACTTACGACCGGTTTAGTCCTAGACTTACGACCGGTTGGGGGGTCGCGGCATTAAAAAGGTTGAGAACCACTGGCTTAAGGGTTCCTGGGGGGTCTTTGAGTAGCCAACCAACTTGTATTGGCTTAGCTTCAACAAGGTGGCTGTATTGTGCATCCTGGAATCATAGAAACTGACAAAAGACACCCCCACCCCCAGAAGACACCCCCAAGAACTCATGGTAAAACCGAGTGCCCTGGTTCTAGTTCATTCTCTGCTTCTCCCCCCTGATCGGTTCCATCACCATTTTGTTCCCACTGATATTGTTTATTTTTTAAAATTAGATTTTTACTCTGCATTTTGGTGAGGCGCTCAAGGCGACGGACCCAGCTCTCTCTCTCTCAGGAGCATCTCTTTTGCTCCACAGCCACAACAGAGTGAATAGGCTGAACATAGAGAAGGAGACCAGCTCAAAGTCGCCCTATGAGCATCCACAACTGAGAACTGATTAAAATCACTCTCTTCCTATGTCAATCCAATACTTTAACCAACACACCAAAGGAGAGGGTTCTCCTTAAGGTTTATTTTTCTGGAGATTTTTGCTCTATTTCTAGAAAACTTTGAGTTTTCTAATAATTTCAGCCAATATTCCCTTTAGGGGCATGGAGTAGACCAGTGATGGCTAACCTTTTAGAGACCGAGTGCCCAAACTGCAACCCAAAACCCACTTATGCATCATCGGGTGCCAGGTGGGTGTGGCCCATTGGCTGGGTGTGGCCCATTGGGTGGGCATGGCTGCGGTGGTAAGGGCAGACTGGGTGGGACTAAAAAGTTCAATCAATCAATTCCAACTTTGCAAGATCTTTTTTTTTCCGCGAGAAGTTGAAATTGACTGAACCTTTTTTTTTGGGGTACATGGTAGCGGAGGCCTAAAGTGAAAAGGTTTTATAAAACCCAGCTGAAGGCCTAGGACTGGGGTGACGGCGCGCGTGCCCACAGAGAGGGCTCTGAGTGCTGCCTCTGGCACCCGTGTCATAGGTTCACCACCACTGGAGTAGACCATTTGGGGTCTTCAAGGACTGGAGATTACTGTTATCTTTGTCCTCTCTGTATACAAATAGTCCTCAAATTACAACAGTTCATTTAGGGACTGAAGTTACAACTGCACTGAAAAAGTGACCTTGTGACCGTTTCTCACACTTACAACCTTTGCAGTGTCCCCATGGTCAGGGGATCAACATTCAGATGCTTGGCAGCTGGTTCATATTTATGACGGTTGCAGCATCATGTGATCGCCTCTTGTGAGCTTCTGACAAGCAACGTCCTTGGGGGAATCCAGATTCACTTAACAACTGTGGCAAGAAAGGTCATAAGTGGGGCAAAGTTCACTTAACAAGTGTCTCACTTGTTAGTCACAGACATTTTGGATTTGATTGTGTCGTTAAATTTAGGACTACCTGTATGTTTGTATCTCACTGGGTTCCATGCCACAAACTCTATTGTTCTGATGCCCATTTGACACTATGGCTACATACATTAAAGGGGAGACAGTTAGGGACTAGCTGGATGGAATTAGGACTAGCATTAATGTTAGACTATGGCAGGGCTCCTCAAACTTGGCCACTTTAAGACTTGAGGACATCAACTCCCAGAATTCCCCAGCCAGCCACGCTGGCCAAGTTTGAGGACCCCTGGACTATGGAGATAGTCCTCAGAAGAGCCCAAGCCATAACCAAGAAAATAACCTCTTCTGGTGGCAGCAGTGAGAAGGATGTGAGAAAGATCTCTCTCCTGTAGTTGCTTTAAAAGCTCCTGTTTTGAAGATCTGGTTACCTGCAGCTCCATTTCTGGAGCTGAGATGGACAATCTGATGCTTTAAAGCAGTGGTCTACAACCTTTGTGGCTTGGCTCAGGAGGGGGGGGACAGGGAACTGGGCCGTGCAGGAACTGGACTGCGCAAGAACTGGGCCATGCAAGGCAGAAGGGTACACGCACACATGTGTGGGCAGCTCAACGAACGCAAGCAGTGGGCCAGCGCATGCACATATGCGGCGTGTGCATGCCGGCCCACCACTGGTGTGAGTTGAGCTGCGTGTGCGCGCATGCACCAGCCTGCCACTTGCGCAGGTTGGTTTTGAATAAGCTACAGCCTGGTAGGTGGGCTGTGGACCCCTCCTCTAAAGTTCTCATTCCAAATGCTGTCTGCAAAAGCTCTTGAGACCTTAAATAGAACTATTTGTCCTGTTCCTCAGCCTACTGGTCAGGTGAGAGTAAGAGAAAGACCATAAGGTGCTCCGTTCAGTGCTTTCCCCAGCTCTGCCCACCATGAAAGAAAGATAGTTGCCCAGCAGAGTTGACTTGACAATGGAGTTAAATGTGTGATGCTGTCAACTCAATCTTGTGTATCGTGCTCACTTTACGTTTTCTCTTGATATCTGTATCTTTCTGTTTTCCCTCAGCTGAGACATCAAGGTAGTCCATTTACGGATAAAGATTTCCATGTCCAAGGACTAAGTTATGATGGAGTCCCTGCGGCAGCCATTTCTTTCCTGGAATGGCGACTCCTCAGTGACCTTGACCGTCTGGACAAGAATTACAAAGCTTATAGCATTATCTCAGAATTCTTGCAGCTGGTCTGGGATGATCAATTTGAACTCAACCCCACCGAAGATGGCCTTCTAAACATGCTGAAAGATACCCGGCTGCAGGTCCAGGGCCTTGTTAACAACTTGACCATCATCATATCTGCCTTGAGGGCCCCACCCTCGCCTGTTACTGACCCTCTCACATTGGATGCCATTAAAACAAACACCTTTGAGAAAAAAGTTCGGGGATACGTGGTGTGTTCCACATACAAGCAATGGATTGATCGGACTGTACGAGACTTCAATCTTCTTGTGAAGAAATACCCTTTTTAAGATTTATTCAAAGTGTTTTGGGAGGGGAAGATAACTCTTACACCCCACTGTTTTTTACACCCCACTGCTGATTTCTCAGGGAATTTAGGTGTAGGCAGAAGACAAGTACACCGTAGTGTGATAAATCTGGGAACTTTCTTGCTAAATTAACCCAGACTTCTGTTCTGGAAAATCCCAGTTTTCAAGCCTTCAGAAGAAACCAAGAATGCTCTGAGCTGATTGGCTGCCTCGCTTGGCTGTGCATGGTGCTGATTGGCTCTCTTGTAATGTTGCCAACAGTCAGTTCCGGAGCATAAGTGAAGGCAGGAAGCCAGTTGTGACCTTGGAGTTCTTTTGATTTGATGAGGTTTAGAGATGTCTCTTGCATCTGTGCAGTGGTGCTCGACTGAAGCCCTGTATTTTTCAATGGTAAACACATATTTTAATTCAGCAGAGATCAGGGATTTCCAAGGGCTTTTCATTATGAGCATTGCCAGCCTTCTGTAGGGCAAGGATGTTCAAAGGTGTTGGGGACTCCAGTTCCCTGGGTTCTCCCTAATGTGGCATTATGGACCCATTTTGGCAGCTCTCTGGATTTACCGATACAGTTAGTCCTTGAATTACAACAGGGGTGTCAAACTCAATTTTATTGAGGGCCGCATTAGCATTGCGGTTGCCCATGGGGGGCTGGCTGGGTGTGGCCAGGGTGGGTGTGGCCTACTGGGTGGGCATGGCCAGCTCTACATCGTTCACGTCAAGGGTGCCTGTGGGGGCCTGGGCAGGAGTGGGACAGATCTGAGGGTCTCTGGCAGAAGGGGGTGGGATCAGGGCAAGTGCCAAGGCATGGTGCATTTCTTCATTCCTCACAAAGAGTGACACCTCCCCAGCTTGCACCCAGGGGGCTGGGCTGACACAGCAGGAGCTGGTTCCTCGCTGTTTCCAGACGACCTTGTGGAGCTAAGACTGAATGCGTTTCAGCATGGATGGCCACCACAAAATTGTACATTGGGTCCCGGCCGGCCTGCGCCAGGGCCAAGGCAGAGGGGGCTGTTCCCTCACTGTTTCCAGGATGGCTTCGCGGGCCACATGAAACCACTTCGCGGGCCGCATTCGGCCCCCGGGCCTTGTGTTTGACATGTCTGAATTACGACCACAATTGAGCCCAAAATTTATGTTGCTAAGCGAGACATTTGTTACATGAGTTTTGCCCCATTTTATGACCTTTCTTGCCAGATTTGTAATCACTGTTACAAATTAGAACAGTTAGAAATACGGTTGTTAAGTGAAGCTGGCTTCTCCATTGACTTTGTTTGTCAGAATGTCACAAAAAGGTGATCACAGTGACCCTGGGACACTGCAACCGTCATAAATATGAACCAGTTGCTAAGCACCTGAATTCTGATCATATGATCATGGGGATGCTGCAATAGTTGTTAAGCGTGTAACGCCGTCCTAAATATAAGTCAGTTGTCAAGCATCCAAATATAAATCACATGATCATAGGGACTGCAATGGTCATACGTGTGAAAAATGGTCATAAGTCACTTTTTTCAGTGCTGTTCTAACTTCAAACGGTCACTAAATGAACGGTTGTAAGTTGAGGACTACTTGTACTTACATGTAGTCCTCAACTTTATGACCATAATGGAACATGCCCGTTATGGTTGCAAGTCGTGACCCACATGATTGACTTGATTTTGTGACCTATTTTGTGGAATTCATGAAATGAATGCTACGGTTGTTAAGCCAACCAGTTGTTTGATATGGGCCAGTTTTGCCAAAAATGCTGGGTTTGGGCAAAAATGTTATAAAACTTGTCTGTACAATTCTGCAAATGGCTATAAATAGGGGTTGATTGCTGAGCACCTCCAATGTGATCATGTGGCCACAGAGGAGAGATTGACACCAGCATTTCAGAACCACGTTGTAAGTATCTCCAGGGAGATCTGTCATGACTTTGAACGGTTGCTAAGCAATTGGTCATAAATCGAGGACTACCTGTATTCTCTGGTTTGTGGCAAATGGGTAACACAGTCTTTCAGATCTCTCTTATGAGCAGAAAATTCCTATTGACATTTTAAGAAGTTGTTTTCAAACTCTTTGGATGGATAGCAGGGAGAGAGGCTGAGTCTTATTGCTAGCCAAGTTGGCATCTGAGGTTACAGTGATGCCAGGCTTTGCTGGGTGCCCACATGGACAGGGATGAAGAAATAACACTAACACAAATGCACGGGGCAGGAGTCAGACCATGTGCTGACAGACCAGATGGAATGCTAATTCCATTTGCTAAATCCTGAGATCAGCAATTTTCAGTGGGTTGTAAAAGAATTTGATCATACTGTGTGAATTTCCTTTGCCTTCTCTTTCCCTACTTCAATTCCTTTTGTGTAGGGGGGTGCCACAAGAGGAGGGATCCCAAAAGTCAAGATGGTGGCCTCTACCGTGTGATCAGAGCCCCACCCTGCCCCTTTGCATGTAAAACATGTTTGAAAAAAGGGGGTGGGACTTAAATCATGTCATTGTGGCTGCCATCTTGACTTTTTTGACCTTTGGGTAGGTCTATGGTCTATGCTATGGATCTTCTCTAGCCGTTCTGGGAGTCCTGTTTGGGGTAAAATGCTAAGACTGCTACACTAATAATAATAATAATAATAATAATTTATATCAGAGAGATATTTAGATGCATTATTTATATAGTATTTAATGAAAGACCATGGAAGGAGATTTTTGTCTTTACTTAAGTCTTACTTAAGTCTTTCCTTAGTCTAAGATGTTTTGGTGTTTTGGAGAACAGTTACCGCGAGCTAAAACTGCTCCAAAACAAAAAACAAAAAACAGTACAATATGGGCCAGTTTTGGCAAAAATGCTATAAAACTTGACCATACAATTCTGCAAATGGTGTGTGTGATTTTTAAAAAAAGGATGAAAAAATAATGGCAAAATAAATGGTAAAATGAAGATGGTACAAAAAACATGCTTTATATAATAATGGAGTTCAATCATTTGATGTTTGTAGCTATAGTTACTGATACCGGATAAGCCTCTTTTGCTTGTTTCAGAGTTGATATGGATTTTATACAAATGTGTAAGGACTGAATTCTCCAGAGCAATTTATGCACAGACTTGCTACCTGGTTTTTCTACATTTTAAGACTTTCGCATTTGTAGAGATGAATTGATGTCATGAAACAGCATTTTTAAATAACTTAAACAAATAAAATATTCTATTTTTGATACCTCTGTGTCTCCTGCGGAATCTCCTGGTGTTTGTTTACTACATTTGTACACAAAATTTTATTTTGTATAATAAAAATTCACATCTTAAAATGCATGTTGAGCCTTTCTTGGGAGAAGGTTTGGGCAAACTGAGGTAATAATAATAATAATAATAATAATAATAATAATAATAATAATAATAATAATAATAATATATTAATAAAATAATAATAATAATAATAATAATAATAATAATAATAATAATAATAATAATAATAATAATAATAATAATAATAATAATAATAATAATAATAATAATAATAAAGTTGGAAGGGACCTTGGAGGTCATTGAGTCCAACCCCCTGCTCAGGCAGAAACCCTACATCATTTCAGACAAATGGCTGTCCAGTCTCTTCTTAAAAACTTCCAGTGTTGGAGCATTCACCGCTTCTGGAGGCAGGTTGTTCCATTGGTTAATTGTTCTAACTGTCAGGAAGTTTCTCCTTAGTTCTAGGTTGCTTCTCTCCTTGATCAGTTTCCACCCGTTGCTTCTCGTCCTGCCTTCAGGCACCTTGGAGAATAGCTTGACTCCCTCTTCTTTGTGGCAGCCCCTGAGATATTGGAACACTGCTATCATGTCCCCCCTCATCCTTCTCTTCATTAAACTAGACATACCCAATTCCAGCAACCGTTCCTTATATGCTTTAGCCTCCAGTCCCCTAATCATCTTTGTTGCTCTTCTCTGTACTCTTTCTAGAGTGTCAGCATCTTTTTTACATCGTGGTGGACAAAACTGGATGCAGTATTCCAAGTTAAGGAGAATAATATTGTGGGGACAATCACATCTGGGCTGTAAGTATCCGGATTCCCACTAGGTGGCAGCCAAAACTTAGGTTTTTTTATCATTTTGCTGCCATCTAGAGTTAGTTGGATTTTTGCACCCTAATTTTGTATCCTATTTTTTTTCTTTCTAATGCAATTAGGGCAGTGGTGGCGAACCTATAGCACACGTGCCAGAGGCGGCACTCGGAGCCCTCTCTGTGGGCACAAACACTGTCGCCCCAGCCCTGCCTCCTCCCACGGCCCCCTCACCAGCAGCCCTCCGGAGGAGAGTTGCCCCCAGGCACAGCCCACACAATGCTGCGCAGCCAAGGACCTGGTAGCTGGGCAGCAGGGACAAGACTCCGCCCTTGCGCCCCGTCACGCGCAGATGCTGCTGCAGGGCACGGGCGGAGGGCGTGGCAACCATGGTGCTGCTGGGCTGCCTGGGTAATCTGTGGCGGGCCGTGGAGGTGGTGAGTGGTCCAGCGGGCACGGCGGAGCGGGGACAGGGGTGGGGGGGGGTTGGGCACTCGGTCTCTAAAAGGTTCGCCATCACTGAATTAGGGTCTGTTTGTTTTGGATCAACCAAGTGTTGATCCCTTTGGTTGGAATTGACCAACCAGCTTGTTGCCTGAGCTTTACATCTTGGGCTGAGAGAGAGTGGCCCAAAATTGCCTGGTCAGTTTCCATGCCTAAGGCAGGACTAGAACTCACTGACTCCTGATGATTGGCCCAAAGTCACCCAGCCAGCTTTCATATCTAAGCTGGGACCAGAACTCACTATCTCTTGGTGATTGACCCAAAGTCACCCAGCCAGCTTTCATGCCTAAGGCAGGACTAGAACTCATAGCCTCCTGGTTTCTAGCTTGGTGCCAAAGAATCTCCCTCTTGCATCCTAATTCTGGTAGCTAAAATCTCAGCAAAATTAGGCTGAAATGATCCTGCAAAATCAACTCTACAGAGAATGCAAAGAGTATTTAAGT